GTTGAAACTTAACGGATTGTCTGTTCAATGAATAATACCCAAAACTAGTTATATTACGTATTAAGGAAAAAATGGAATATTATCTTTCATTATATATTTGCACTTTTCTTTTTTATTTAGTTTTTTTTTTATTTTTTCGAGATTTTTTATAGTTTTTGGGAATGTCTCAAAGTGTAATTCTGTACAAACTCAAGAATGGTATATTATACTGTATAATCCTTATTCGTTTACAACCAATTATTACTTTTTGAAAGCTATACATTTAATTTTGAAAGGAGATATTTCAACTAAAAAAATTCCAAACAAGAATGTCCTTCTCCTCTGTCTTTTATCTTTTGTAAGGATATATGGTGACGTTATAGAATTTGATGTATGGGTCCTATGCATTCTTATACCTCCTGCACTTGATGTGTGAGAGAGATAGAGTAACCCGTGGTGTTCTTTATTTGGTCCTACCAAAGGAGCGATCTTCCTTTGGGAAGAGTTCTTTCACCAACTACTTTTCCTTCAATTACCAATCTCTCCATGCCTTTCCTGCATCTCGCTATATGTTCAAAATATCCCTATATATTTTGGTTTATATTTACAATAAGCCTAGCGATGATGTTGAGTTCTATTAATATTAAGATATTTGTGTAGTGTGAGATGCAGGGTATCTTATCATTATACGATAGACCCACATTTCAAAGACCATGTTGCGTTGTGAATCAGACTTTTTGATAATCAGTTAAAGTTTCTGCAGCTTAGGTAGCGATAAGATCTAGGTCTGATCTGGTCATTGTGAGGCGTCGACATATTTTTTATTCGCATCATCCATTATTTGTGATAAAAGAGCCTAAGTATGTCGTCAGACCATGGAGTTGGAGTATCTACATTGTAAAAATGTCGTGTGCCCCACCCTCCATGCTGTGGCATGCTGGACGAGCCATACAGTCTGTAGTCAACACCCCGAGGTAAGAGCGGGAACACAAAGTGTATCAATACTCTTACGCTTATGAAGCGCATCTGGCGCATCATAAGGGCCTTCACATTTTACTCTTTTTCAACTTCGAGTAAAATTTCTTTATTCTTTCTTATCAGCCTCTCTTGACCAACTCTTGTTTCTTCTGACCCTGAATGGCGATTAGGTTTCCGAAAACAGACGGGTCACTATATTTCCTTTTACTACACCCTCTACTAACCGAGCGATTACCGGTATAAGTAATCCCCCATCTACCGGCCAAGCGGCCGACCAGCTTCGGGCAAGGTAAAAAAATCCCTACATAGGTAAAAAAATCTCATTTTTTTACCTATGTAGGGTCATACGTCGCCATGTTACCAATTCTAACGGTAACTTAAATATCATTTTTGTAACCACATATAATGTAAATCAACCATAAATTTATATCATTTAAAGGGTTTTGACCCATATATTTTGGTGGCTCATAGCATGTATACCTCGTTCACATTGATGATGGATTTAACAATCCGAAAACGTTTTGTAATATATTTGTGATAGCCCGTTTGGGCATTTTATTATATACCTTTCATAAAGGATTTGAAATAAAAATATTGTTAGTTGCATTTTTGAAGGTTAAAAGATTATAATGCTTTTATACACTCACCGGCAGACAAACAGAGCGCTTATAATAACATAAACACAAACAAAACAAACTGTTTTAAGTAATTTCTAATTAAACTTACGAGCTCATCTGAACAAAAATGTATAAAAATTCAGAAATAAAGAATACACTATTCTTATCAGTTTTAAAAGCGCAAAAGTAGCTGTTGGTATTTTATTGTTTTTTTGTTCTTGTTGATGTGAGTAAACTTTCAAGTCAATTCAAGTGTCAATCACAATTTGAAGTTGAATTGCGTTAATTTAATTTCAAGAATTATGCTTGCAAATCCTGAAATAGCGGCCGCTATTATTGCTTCAAGACGGAAGAAATGAGCAATATGTTGCTCAAAAGTATCAAATATCTAAAAGTACTGTGCACTGCATCTTTACACCTTTCTTGTGACCCAGATCTTACACTAGACGATCTAGAACCGGTCTCCAACGAAAAATAGTGTCCATGATGATCGCTTCATCCTCTTTCAAAGTCTACGAGATCGTCGTGCCAAAGCTGTACAAATTCGAAATCAACGTCAGCAAGTTTGGAATAGTAACTTTAGTATACAAACAATTAGACCAAGGCTTAGAGAAGTAAATTTAAGTAGTCGCAGACCTGTAACAGGCCTACAACTTCGCAGGCGGAATCGGGTAAGGCGCCTCCAGTTTACCAGAAACCATGCTCATTTTACTGCAAATAAATGAAGGCATGTTTTATTTACCGATAAGTCCAGGTTTACTTTAAGGTCTCCACATGGTCGTGAGAGAGTATGGCGAACACCATATAAGCGTTTTGCAGAATGTACCTTCAGTCCTAGGGTAGGCTATATTCTTCCTCAAGTGCCATCTCCGCGGCGGAGGTCGGCAATCATCACTTTTGAGACAGCTGCTCTGAAAAGTTTATTTGATGTACATTCGTACCACTCTCTCAGGTTGCGCAGCCATGACATTCTACGCCTCCCTATGTTTCTCTTTCCTTGGATCTTTCCCTGCATAATCAATTGGAGCAGGGTGTATTTCTCTCCACGTGTAATATGTCCGACATCTTCTATAGGCTATCAAGAAGGCTCAATTATGGTGTGAGCTGGAATTTCTCTATAGGCACGTACAGAATTGTACATCGTTCCGAGAGGTTCCATAACAGCTGCCAAGTACATTAATGAAATTTTCCAAGATTTTTTTGTGCCATTTACTGGTTTTGTTGGCAACAAAACTTATGACTTTTTCTGATGCATGATAATGCGAAGCCTCACAGTGCGATAATCACTCAAGAGTTTTTATATAAAGTAAAAATTCCTGCAATGGATTGGCCAGAACTGTCTCCAGACAAAAAAGCAATCGAAGTTGTTTGCGACATGTTTGGGCGAAGGATACGATGTCGTGTTCCTGCTCCTTTAACCTTAAATCCGTTACATGAAGCTCTTTTAAAGAAATGGGGACTTATTCCTTACCAGGACATTTCTCATTTGATTTTAGGCTTGCCAAGGAGAATTCAGGCAATAATTCGAGCACGTGGAGAAAACATTCATTATTAAAATCAGTTTAATTTTTAAATTTTTATTTACTGAAACAGTTGTTTGTGGAAAAGTTAAATTCTTATTAGAAATTACCTAAAGCAGTTTGTTTAGTGCTCCATTTTTCGTGCCGGTGAGTGTAGAATTACAATTCATTTAGTAGTTTTTTAGAAAAACAAAATCGGAAGATCACTAATTAAGGCATTTTTCAACAAAAAATTACAAATAACTGAAATAGATCAAATTTAAAAATTACCAAGATAGGAAAATCCACATAGAAACTGAATTCCTGTAGTTAGATACCATGGACGGCTATGCTGACAAATATGGCAGTCCTTGAGAGAGCAAATGCTGCTCGCGATCTGCTTGATAACATCAAATGTAGAAAGATGGCCTATTTTGGACACGTAGTAAGGGGAGACCGATATAATATTCTTCAACTTATTATGATGGGTAAAATCGAAGGACGCAGAGGAATTGGTAGAAAGCTGGCCTCTTGGTTGAAGAATATCAGGGAGTGGACAGGAATAAAGTAAGCTGAGCAACTATTTAGGATAGCTCGAGATAGAGACAGTTTCGCCATGTTAATCGCCAACGTCAAGGGGACTTGATGGGGCACGTTAAGAAGAAAAAGATACCATGAATCACAAAATTTTTTATTTAAAAAGATTTCTTTATAAAAGATATATTAATATAATATATAGCATGATAGAGTTTTTATATCAGTATATTTTTTATAAAAGGAATTTTTTTTTTAAATTTAGAAAAAGTATTAGTTTTAATAAGACACTTAACCCTAAAAAAATTTACTAAAAGCGATTCGGAAAATGGTATTTTGTTATAAGTTTTATAATAATTTCCAGATCACTTGGAAAAGTTAAAAGAAATATGTTTAAACTTGAAAAAAATATATACAGGGTGATTGATTAGTGTGAGGAAGCTCAGTAGATCTGTTATAGTAAAAATTACAAAAAAAAAAAAGTTATTAAAAAAAGTTGTAGGCAGCTTTAAACTCCACATTTTAAAATTAGTTACAATCTTACAGGGTGTTCCATAAGATGGTGGCAGACCAAACTTATGTTTTGTTAAACGGAACACACTGTATTTTATTTTAAATTAGAAATCTGCTTCAGTTCCACATCACAAAAATGTAAAGTTTTATTATGTTATAGCGGGTATTTAAGAAAAGTTATAACCAATATTACCTAAAAATCGTATCAAGTTTAACTCCCTGTATAATTAAATATATATATATATATATATATATATATATATATATATATAATATGATTAAAAAGGATTATAGGAACATTGATCTATTGCAATCATAGTTTTTTAATAATTGGTAGAAATTATAAAACATATCATATTCGTTTTCATAATATTCGTTAAATCAAATACAGAGTAAGTCAAAATGCAAGTACATTATTTTCTTGGTAATTTTAAATAAAACACCATGGATTTTATATCACTATCGAAAAGTACTAATATCATACTTCAAATTTTATGAAGTACTCCCTATAGGTACCTAAAGTTATCACTTTTCTAGATATTTTTATTTTTCTATCAAAGTATTAATTTGGTAGATAATTTAACGTTAACCAATAATTATTGTGAGTTGGCTATGATTGAGTTGTCAGAAACTGACAGTTTGACATTATTGTTTATTAATTCAGTATTGGGGTACACCGTAAAAGAGCAACAATTTTTATTTAGTAATTTAGTAATTAATTCAATTTAAATTAGCAATAATGAATTTTACTACTGATGAAATGGTAGATATGATCTGGATATTGGGGAAATGCGATAAAAATTCATTACTATTAGACAAGATACATTTGAAAAAATGAAAGATCGATTTAACCGCACTAGTTCAGTGAATTATAAAAAACATGAACGAAGATAAACTAGTTTTACAAGAGGGAAACGAAATGAGTATGTTGATGGAAGTTACAGAACACGCACACAGATGCATAAAGAGTATTTCCAATGAACACTTACTTACTACTCTGTTCAAAACATTCTATCTAAAAACAAGATCATATTCAAAAGCACTAAGAATTAAATAATGATGATTTTCAGAAACGTATAGTATTTTGTGAATGGGCCTTAGAAAAAATTAACGAGCAAAGAGATTTTTTTGATTATGTTCTATTTGGTGATGAAGCTACATTCCATCGAAACTGTTCTGTTAATAGGCATAACTTTCAGTACTATTCAACAAGTAATCCATACCACATAGTAACACATATTCATACAAGATGTTCTCTAAATCTGTGGGGAGGTATCGTCGGTAACCATGTAGTAGGACCATATTTTTTTGAAGATAACTTAAATGGTGAGATTTACTTAGATGTTATCGTAAATCAGTTACCGATATTATTAGAAGAGGTTTTACTTAATATATGTAAACAAATGTGGTTTGGTGGTTTCTACATACCGGTGCTCCTGCGCACCACAACGAATTAGTTCGTGGTAAACTTAATGATCAGTTTGGTGAAAGATGGATCGGAAGAAACGGACCCCAAGGTCACCAGAATTTAATAAAATAGACCCTTTCTTTGTGGTTACGTTAAGAACGCAGTATGTAAAATACATCCAACAACAAGGGATAATATGAAAAATAGAATCCGAATTGCATTTCAAAATATTTCTTTACAAATGCTTAGTAACGTAAGCAACTCCTTAATGACTGCTTTCAAGTACGCATAGATGTGTTGGGAGGTCATTTTGAACACCTTAATTAAGTAAGAGTGTAACAAAGAGGAGTATCTTTGTTACACTGACCAGTATAACAAAGATACTCCATAACCTAAATAACAACAACGTAACCAAAGTTAGAGCAGGAGACAAATTCACTGAAAATATTCCAACACCGGGAGGAATTAGACAAGGCGACAGTTTAAGCCCCTTCTTATTTAATCTTGTCATGAGCAAAATTATCAACAAAGTAACATCTCTTAATCTCGGATATAGAATGGGCAACAAAAGAATTGGTATGGTGTGTTACGCAGACGATGCAGCAATTATTGCCGAATCAGAAGATGATCTCCAAAGGCAGCTCTTTCAGTTCTTTCAAACAAGCCGACTACTAAATATGAACATATCTACTAACAAAACTAAATGTATGACAATAGCAAAAGATCCGCTCAGATGTAAGTTAGTGGTTGAGGACAACCCCATAGAACAGGTGATGCAATACAGATATCTGAGCATAGATATATCAAGCACCCACGACCCAGTAAAGGACCCGAGGAGTCAGATCAACAAAGCATCTCCACTGTCAGGATGTCTGCGGGAGATAGTCTGGTCAAATCCGTATATGCGCACAGATAGTAAAATTAGAATCTATAAGACTTGCATACGACCTATCATGACATATGGCATAGAAGTGCGCGAAGATACCAACAAAACGAAACAGATGCTAAGGGTTGCCGAAATGAAAACCCTAAGAACAATAATAGGGAAAACAAGAAGAGACAGAGTGAGAAATACAAACATTAGAGAGCAGTGCAAAATTCAAGATATTGTAAGATGGGGAAGGCAGCGCAAGAGGATGTGGTACAACCATGTAAGATGAATGGATGAGAATAGACTCCCAAAAATTGCCCTAGAAAACAATCCGCCCGGTTCAAGACCCCCCGGAAGACCACCTAAAAGATGGAGGGATAGTTGGCAATCTACCTCCCAAGAAATTAACCAGAGGCAGCTTCAGAATTAAACAGATCGAAAGATCTACAAAAAGTAGAAGAAGAAGAAGAAGTTAAAATTACTGTTGTTTTTTATTTTTCTATGTGTTGTTATTTTTTTTTTAATTTTCCGTCGGTTACTTTTTATAAATTTTATTTGAAATAAATTGTTTTCTTTTCTGTGTCGTTATTTCGTTACTAAATTAATAAACAAGTTTGTCAAATTGTCAGTTTCTGTTGTGATGTGAAACTGAAGCAGATTTCAAATTTAAAATAAAATAAAGGGTGTTCCCTTTAAAAAACATAAGTTTGGTCTGCCATAATCTTATAGAACAGCCTGTGAGATTGCAACTAATTTTAAAATGTGGAGTTTAAAGCTGTCTATAACTTTTTTTTTATAATTTTTACTATAATCGCAAAAAATTAGTTTTTTTATGCTCTGTTTGTAGGGTAAACCACCCGCTTATATATTCCACAATACCAGTAAAAAATAAATGAAAATTTTGAGAAAATAAATTTGAGTACATATTTGAAATTATTCTATTATTCTCATTTAATCCCACTACACAAAAACTGTGTTTCGTATGTCGCTATCACGAAGTTTAAGAATAATTGAAAAGACATATGACGTGGTCTTTACAATCATAACTAATAGGATAAAGAGAACATTACACTTTACAAGAAATTCTGGCTAAATTGAATAACATTAACAACAATAGTGAGAATTAGAACTTGACCTAAATCCTGACCACATTTTAAATCCCACTTTATAAACTTTAAGTAGATTTACGTGCTTCAGAGAACTCAAAAAAATGTTTCCAATCTAATATTTCAATTAGGTAACTCGAGAACGTTTTTTTGGTGGGTAAAAAGTGCAACTGTTTTCATGTCGACAATGAATGGTTCAGATGAGATTAGACCCGGAGATAACCTGATGCGTACAAACAAATGCACAATGAATCGTATACAAAAGTATTAGGTTGCTTATTTGTGATTTTACAAGCAAGCAGACAAGATAACATTCTGACCAAAGCATATGCCGCACCCCTCGTTCTTTCAAATGAAACATTGTTGAAAGAAATTACCATATAATGTGTTCGAGCATGTAAGATATCTTCTTTCGATATATTAGATGGTCAAAATTTGACGTTCCCGTTTTGTAAATTAGCATTATTATGTATGGATAGTTACCTAGGTACTATTGGAAGGTTGACGTTATTTAATTTCTACATTCGTATATTCATAAAGGTGTTAATGTTAAGAAGGGTTGTACATTTAATTTGAGTATCTTTCAGGTATCGATTACATTAATAGTCGTTAGACACATATTTTATGAAACTTTATAGAAATATTATTATTATTTTTATTATTATATAACAAATAAGGGCAGAGGAGCGAGCTCCTATTATTCTCAAAAAGCAAAAATAAACAAAAATTAAATATATCCTTATAAAACTAATACTAGTTATAAAGTTAAGTACAGTTAAACAATTAACAAAAATTGAATTGTGACACAATAAATAAATAAATAATGCTGTCCGAGAAAAAATATCCTATCCTATAAAAAAAAATAAAGTGCTATCAAGTTTATTTTTAAAGATGTTAACACTAGCTGCCGATATGGTGTCTTGATCCAAATTGTTTCAGATATTAAAGATTATGTTTGGCAAGAAGTTTACCCTGGACCTTGCAGTAGTTTGTTCCCTCTTTAATTTGTATCGATGGCCTCTTAATCTTTCGTCTTGATTCAAAGTGAATATGGTGTTTAGGTTCCCAAAATTATGTTTTAAAATACGTAAAGACATTATTAGATCACCTCGAAGACGTCGCTGTTCGAATGTCGTAAGATGAGCCATGAATAGTCTATCTTCATAGTTAGGTCTTACACGGCCGTATGCCAGTCTTGTGGCTTTACGCTGAACGTTTTCAAGTAGGATTTTATCGCGACTGAGATCTGGATTCCACACTGGTCCGGCAAACTCAAGAATAGGTCTAACGTATATTGAGTAAAGTTTACTAACAGAGATTAGAGATATGCGTGCAAAACATTTACGGATCAAAAACAGTTTCGAGTTAGCACGTTTACACACCGACACTATGTGATCAGACCAATTTAAGTCACTATTAATTATCACTCCGAGATCGTTGTGTAAGGTTACAGAGTTTAAAGGATGTCCATTAATAAAGTACGGCAGTGATTGGTTATTTTTGCCGATATGTAAAACAACGCATTTTTCAATGTTAAGCGGAAGTAACCATTCTGAGGACCATTTGAATATTGCGTCAAGATCTTGTTGAAGAATATGTTGGTTAATAGTTGGATTCACATATAACTTAGTGTCATCAGCGTAAATGGAAACCTTACTGGATACAATGAGCGGAAGATCACTAGTGTAGACACAAAAAAGTAGCGGTCCACGTACTAATCCTTGTGGAATTCCACTCTTGGCTGGCTTATCTAGTGAGTGGTCTTCCCCAACACGAACCCTGAAGTATCTGTCGGATAGAAAATCTTGTATCCAAATGTTTAACTTTCCGCGGACACCATAGTGATCCAATTTATATGCTTTATTGTCACTGAAAATTATACAATCTTATGGACAAAGCTTATAAAAGTTAAAACAAAAGTAATAATAACAATATCACAGAATAAAACATAATGAAATATACCATGCATTGCAAAATTTCACTATATTGCAAATTGCATAATAAAACCTTACGAACTAGTTTACGAATATGTTTAAGCTGCTGCATATGATACCCAAATATACATAAAAATACTTGTTACTTGTACCTAAACGAACTGTACTTTCTTAATTATTCGTTAAGAAACTCTTCCACTGAATAATATGGTCTTTCAGATAGATAGGCTTTTGTTAATTGACGGAACTTAAGGAAAGAAGTTGTAGATTTAAGTTGTAAAGGAAGATGGTTGTAAATTTTTTTGCCGAATGTTATATAGATTTATTTACTAACTCAGTGGATGGGATCAATAAATCTACATCAAAGCTTGAATTAGTAAAAATAAAACGAATTCAAAGAAATACCCCGAATTCCGTAGAAATTTAGTTTTTTCATCAAAATGTCATGATCTACACAATCAAAAGCTTTGGCATAGTCACAAAAAACAGTGGCAGTATAAAAATTATTGTTAGTGAAAGCTGAACTGACCTTGTGATAAAATGTTGATTTTTACGAGAAAGGCCATAAGTCGGGCTTTTATAAGTCTCTCAATAATTTTGGATA